GCCCAGAGTCCGATACGATACCGACTTGTGCTACGGCAGGCAACTTCAGGGCGAACATTCAGAGGATTCTAGTCCCTGTCCAGTGTCTGAAGAGGGATACACAAGCGTGTTTGCAACGTATTGTCTCTGTAATGTGGTTACGTGTATTCCTCTATGTACTGCTGTACTGGAGAGCATGCATATCGTTCCATTGTTGGTTCATATCCGTACATGGTAATGTTTTGCGCAAGGGCACCATGGGGATGTCTGTCTCCTTGAAGTGATGGATCATATCCTTGGACCCAGGGTATCCGCACTTTAAACTCCTCGAAATGTAGACTTACGTATGTTACGGAGCCCACCAGACCAGGACATCATAATGAAGCTTGGGATAGGTGCGAAGAGAAAAAGTCAGCTAGGCCGGACATGGCCTGGCAAGGCCCCCAAGATTAATTGTTTGGTTGTTTGATTGTTGAGAGCATGCTTTCCCGCGGCCCCTACGCATCTAGCGCAAAGAGAACGTTCTTTTTTGTCCTCGTTAAGCCCACAAGCCACAAGGAAAAGGTGTATATCCCGGTTCATGGGTCAGTGGGATGGGCGTCGCCGCATGGGGGTGAAGACGCGAGAAAGGCGCGAGGTGAAGGACGGATAGTGTGGAAAGGGTAAAGGGAGTGGAGGGTGGACATTGAGCCCAGAGGGGCGGCCGCCCGGTGGCTTGCCTGTCTTCAGCCTTCGGGCAACCGCACGTCTTTCTTTTCGCATGGCGGCACATGCTTTAGGGTGTAAGAGTTATTGCAATGGCATGGGATAGCTTCGAGTTTAGTTAGACAGTGGAAGGGTAAGCTCCATGGATGATACAGCGGGGAGTGCGTAAGTTGTATTCTAATTGTCTCCAAGAGGTCCATTCCAATCTCATGATTGACGATGGATCAATCATAAGCCCCCTTTTCTCGCGCGGTTGCCTGTATTCGTGCCAACCGCCCGCCCACCTTAGGCTTCATGATCTTCGGCCAAGGTCAAGACGTGGGAAAGGCTGAGGCAGAGTCAGAGCTAAGAAAGGCAAAAAAAGAAGAAAAAACCCCCAGGCCTCCGTACCTCGAGACAAACAGGAACCAAATCAGGCGTGAAAGCCTCCATTCCGGTGGTTATCGAGTTGGTAATAATGACAGGGCTCGGAATAAGGTTGCAATAGCTAGGACGAGTCGCAATTAACCGCCCAGCGTCAAGTCAATGGAAAGACAATTCAGCAAATCAGAGACGCCGGGTGCGTCTCCGTGTACGTACTCTGGAACGGGTACGGGTACTCGTACCTCCCTTACGTTTAGGGTGTATACAAAGTACATAGTATCCGTAGTCAGTAAGGTAGGCGAAGTAAGGTATCCATACTGGTAAGGTAGGTAGGTAGCCAGGCCCGGAGAGAAGGTAATATCGCTGAGCCAAGGCAGGTGATGAGCTGGGGTGTCTATGCGCCTATGCACCGCGGAGCGCAACAAGCGTAGTGCGGCTAGGTAAAGCGAGGTAAAGCAAGGTTGGAATGGACCATTCCGATGCCCCCTTGGAGTTTCCCGTCCCCTCGTCCACCGTTGGCTGTATTGGTAGGGAAGGTGAGAGTGAGATACCTACATGGCAAGGTAAGGTAGGTGAAGCCCGTAGCATCTGCTCCTGAATCTTGACTCTTGAGAGTCTTGGAGCCCTGAGCTCCTGACTACTGCAAGTCAGTCAATGTACACCAACATGACTAACGCACCCCTTGCCCGGGTTTGTAAAAGCGGATCCGGAACAGGTACGTAGTAGCTCGCCCATAAATCCGAACCCACCTTTTGCCTGCCCTGATGGACCTGATGGACCATTCCAAGGGCAAGAGTGACGCTGCATCAACTCCAGCCTCGTTCTGGTTGGTTCCTGACTCCCAAACTGCCATGTCGCTGGCCCTTTTCTCCCCTTCTCATACTGACATGCTCCTTGTCGACTTTTGCCATATCACACACATACACAACCAGTGTCACACAAGCACACGCTCAAGCGCACACACACACACACACACAATACACATTCTCGCACCTTGTCCTATGAATGTGCTTACTACCACTTGTCATACGCAGCCACATTCATTCTCCTGCCAGGCGACTGGCTACCGACACACCAACTCCTGCAACTAGACACTAGTGGCTGGAGTCTGATGGCAGCAGAACACTCGAGAGTCAGGAGTGTCATCTCAACGCCCTGTTTCTCAAACATGCTCGCTCCAAGACATCCTGACATACTCCCTTTTACAGCCACTGGGCAGTCTTTCTGCTCACAAGGAAATCCCTAGACAAACCTGCTCAATCGGTAGCTTTTCCATTTGCTGCAGTTGTTGCTGCAGCTTTGCCAGAGCAAGCCTTGCCCCCTTTTTTCTGCTCACCCACTTTTGCTAGGACGGCATCGAAACGATGAGGAGCATGCTTCTAGACCTTTTCTCTTGACTAACAATTACTAGCCTACCTGCGAATACCGTGGCGCAACTCAACTTGAAGCATAGGAGCCTGTCACCGTTCTTAGCCCGTAGGGATTTCGAACTATCGTCGGCCTCCCACCCTCAGGAAAAATTACCAAAGAAAAAAAACCTTTGTCTCACCCCTCCATCTCAGCCTTGACTGGCCTCACCGGGCCTCATTAATCATGCCTATACGCGGTAAACGCCAACCTTGACATCCACTCCTCCGTCGCGCTCTTCTGTCCGCCGTTGTCTTTACTCGTGCCTCCTGCCTCTTCGCCACACCGTCTTGACTTTTCACGGCCCAGCCGAACATAGGCTTTTGCCAACTCACGCACATACCGAATATTTGCATCATACCTTGACTCTCCAGTACGCACAAGTCTGTGCTTGCTATTGTCCGTCTCAACTATCAGCATCACACGCGCATTCCGACATGCCTTCAGACACTGGATAGAGCGACCGTCGGGAACTCAGAATTGCCTTTACACTCAGTCAATCGCATTCCCAAACAGCTTGGACCAAAACGGAAATACCTCCGTTCTGGTGTTGTGTCAAAGAGACTTTTGGCCATGTGGAGTCCACCCACGCCTCTCTTGTTCCATCCTCATCTAGGTCTTGAAGGGTGATTAGCATTCGCGTCCTATCTACCCTCGTAAAGCCATGCCGCGCTGTTCTGCGCTGTGCTGTGCTGTGCTGTGCTGCGGTACGGAGTATAGGTCATTGATACTACCATCATATGACCTCGACTGCGCGGTTCATACCACGCACAACAGGAGGCATGAGCACTGCTTCTCAGTACCTACTCGTGCGCCAGCATCAGCTCCAGTAACAAACACTCGGGTCACGGCATTGCAATTACGCCTATCTGCAAGTCGTTCCTCCTGGCTGGTTACGGTTTTGACGGCTGACGGGTGGCTGCAAGTCTAAGGGACTTTGAGAGCAAGCTGCTTCAACTCGTGACTAAACTGGAGACACAGATGGTCTCCCGGTCAAGGCAAGCTACTCTTAGAGTTCAGTTCCTTCGTCGTCGACTTCCGTCAGTCAGTCGAATACCGTCGGTCCAAGTTGTCATTGTCGTTGTCGTCCTCAACGCCGCTTACTGGGTTCATTAACCTTTCTCTTGCTGAACCACATTCACACCCCCCTCCCCCCTCATCCCCCAACACCTCTGTCCCTTGCCCTTCGCTTTCACCCATCCAGATCCCCACTCCTCTATTACACGCCCTCCCTTCTCCATATTCGTGGGAGGACCATCTACACAGTACCTCATCACATCTCCCCACTCCTCGCGGGTTGGGATCTGTCGCTGCTGTCCACACTACATCCCCACGGCGTATGTACATACTACGTACTGGGAGGTGTCCTTTTCACCCCATGCAAATTGTGTCCTTTTTTTTATTTTTATTTTTTCCACCTTCCTCTTGTCACTTCTGGGTTTACAGCCAGCCAGCAGCTACCCAGCCAATCCTCTAGATGCCAAGACCCAGTACGAGGCTAATGAATGCCGCCACGTTATACACTTTGCATGGCGGCTGGATGCTTGCAACGGAGGCCCCAGTCTCTTGGTGACGGGATGCAGGTCGCATTACTGTTGCGAGTCCAGGTCGACTGTCAACCGACAGAAGGAGAGTGACCCGCACATCTGTTTCCTCGTCTCGTTTTGCTGATGCCACGGCCCACGACTTGAATTAGACTGGGCTGGAACTGACAACCTTCCTTTCCCTCTGGGAAACTCAACTCACTGACTGATGACCTACACGCATACCCACGCCCACCTCTGTCTCTCTCACACGCCACACCACACACTCCTACTCCCACTTCCCACGCCTCTCAACTCACACTCCAGAGCCTAGCTTCTTCTCACCCTTCACCCGTCGTTCTTTGATCTCACACCTACTTACCTTACACGCCTTCTCACACACCCACACTCACACTCTCACCTTTTGCACTTGTCACTTTATCTCATTACACTCCCCCAATTAAAACTCAGAATCCCACACTCCCTGCCTGATACGTACTCTCTATACGGACGATTATACTTTTCAACCCATGCCTGACTATCCGTACCCGTACCTGTCCTGAGCTGCCCTTCCGCTCCCTCATCCGTGGTGTCAAGGCCAGTTCTTATAAGAGAACCGTCTAATCCGGGGTTGAATTTGTCCTATTCGGATCGGTGCATTTGTATCGCACATCGAATCCACAGCAAGACCCAGCTCCAGCCCTTCCCCTGCAATAGACAACGCAAGCCAAGGCACAACGTCAAACAACTGTGCGCGCCTCTTTATTGGAGATACCCAGCATCCGTGGTTCTGGCTCTTGTACCTACAACCTACACCTCGTTGCTGCCCCCCGCTACTCATTAAATATCGTCGCCCCTCCCCGTCACCTAGACCAGATCGGATCAGCCCATCACATTATATATTACCTCTCATCCTCCCCAGCCTTCTTACCATCTTGGCCACATTCGCCTCTTCACCAAAGATCAACATTCGCCTTCGTCATCTTATATATATACAACACACCTCGTCCCTTATAAACTACGATGCTGTCTATCACACCCCAGGGAGATCACCACCAGCAGTCCCTCTACCTTCCCTTTAGACCGTTGTCTTCCTCGAGCCGCCCTTGCACCGACTTGCCCTTCCTCAGCAGCATCGCCAGCAGTATGGGTCACAGCCTCCATGTCGGCAACACCGTCTCGGTGACGCCAGCCTCGCTCAAGGACTCAGCCAGCGTTGCGCAGGCCCTCGAGATCGCCAGAGAGAGCGAAGACGGAGCCTCAGACCCGACTGTTAGCAGCATCCTGGAGAGCGCTATCAGCCAGATCTGGGCCAAGGTCGCCGCCCAGCCCGAGTCCTACGTTCTCAACCGAGACGAGTTCGCCGTCTTCAACTACTTCCAGCACCGCTTCATGGGCAACAAGATCGCCATGGCCGCACGCAAGCGCTACTGGGACAACGCCCGCGCATGAATCCCAGGCCCTCGACTTTGCTAATAGACCATGCATACTGGTCTATTGCGCAAACCACTTATTGCGCGTGGCCGGGAATGCAACTTGTCATCTAGAGCTTTGTATGAGAAGCTCCAGCTCCGCAAGTAGCATATCCTCTCACACTTCAACCGCGAGCCTCGCTTTCCCAGTCTGGCATTTCCTTCGACTTGTACACGGGAAGCACCCCATACACACATAGGAGCTAGACCGGAGATTTCCACGACGTATGACTCTCGTTCTGTCCTGGGAGGTACATCTCGCAGTGGACGCAGCTTTTGCCCACTTTCTCGGGGACTCACAGCAGGCGCCCGCATAACTTCTTCCGTGGAAGAAGTAGCCAACATAGACATGGCATTCATTCGCCTTTGCCACAGCTTGTATTTTCAAGCATGCATACGATTCCGCCATACTCCGCCAGGGCCCTGGCAAGGTGTTTGCCGTACCCGAGAATCCAGTCTTGGCTGTCTACGCGCCTCGGTCCCCTTATCCGTCCCATAATCTCATCAGCCCACCATCAAATCCACCAGACGCATATATCCGTTCTAATACCCGAAAAGCACCCACCCATCAATCCAAATCCCTGTTCCGGGGCGTTGCAGCAACCAGAGAAAAGTGGGCCATGTCCAAGCGTCCTCTCACTCCCCTTTCCCTCCTCCATGGAGGGCAGGGACAAAAAAAAGGACCTCTACCAATTCACCAATCCCACTCTTCCCAAGAATGCTCCGCGCTCCCCAACATCCAGCGCGGCGGACGTCACAGCGCAGGCGTCAGCCCGCACTTGGCTAGGAGAGAGGAGAACGGGAAAGGCTCCGGCAGGCAACTCGGGCCCAGGATCTAGTCAGCAATTCATGGGCGGGTTCAACCAGAGGCCCGATGAGTCTATGTCTTGAGTCGACAACAGGCATGCTAATATCTGTTGCAACATGCATCAGCATATCGCTGCCTACTATTCTGTTCCGACTGCCTCTGCCTCTTGGTGGCTCGCTTAACTTCCGAAGGAAGAGAGTATGCGAAGACGTCGAACTACAAGACTGGTCATTCTCTAGCGCCTCTACAGCACCGCGAGAGCACGTTTGCACAGACATGGAACGACCGCTCTGCTGTAGTATGAATGTCACTCGGACGACAAAGACTGCAGTAACTCGTACAGCGATGATACTCTGCCACGGCCAAGCATGTCCAACCGCACGGCTGGCCTGGCAGCGGCAGCATCGCTTCGAGTTGAGACGACTTGGACTGGCGGTGTCGAAGGGACGACTCGTTGGTTTCGGATCACTGGTTGCCGATAACCACTCAAGCCACCAGCGACATTGTATGACTTTGCTGCCTCCCCACACACTTTTGGTTCCCATCCAAGTGTGGCTTGGCCAGCGCTCGAGGCGCCTATGTGAAGAGCCGCTAAGACGCTGCCATGACACGACAAAGTATGGTATCATTTTACTGCAGTGGATTTGTGCCAGTCAAGTGTCTTGGATCGGGGCACCGCGCGGGCCAGACGGATGATGGGCGATGTTGTGTGTCAGTTTAAACTTTGGGATAATTGTCGAGAATACGCAGCGATGTACAGATGTCTTAGTGCGGAGGGAAAGCAATCATGGGGCGATCGCTGGAGAAGAGATGGGCAAGTGTGATCTCGTCACACGTTTTCGAGTTGCACTTTTGGCGCAGGCTAAATTCCTTTTTTATTCTATTCGTGTCCATTCTTATACGCAAGCATGACAATTGCGACATGGCATTTTTGTACTTTTCATGTATTATAGACAATACTCCAGACAGGTGGCATTCTGGACAATAGTGTAAACACAGGAGAAACAATTGTGCTCTGCACTCACAGTCTACTTGTACTTGACCAATCTTTATCATGAATTATGAATAATTGTGTCTCGTGACAACGCATTCATTTAGGTGGCAGGCGTTACTTCCGATAATGGTCTGTACTTCCCTTAATTGTGTGTCTCAATGTGGAAGGAAAGGAACGAATATTCAATTTTCGGAAAGGAAGGCAAGCGCATGAGGTAGAGGTAGGCTGGAGTGGCTGCCTCAGGTCAGCTTGGATCCCGGGCTGGTTCTTGCCCTCCTGCAGTGTTTAAGGTTATTCGGCGTTTTGTTTGGCTTGCATGGTCTCTGGCAGGTGCGGAGGGTGCGGTTTTGGTGACAGAACAGGAAATCCAGCAAGGAAAGCACCTGTAACCTGTAAGAGCTCTCTGCTTCCTGTCGCAAAGCAGCCACCATTTTTGTCTGAGAAGGTTCAGACTTTGTGTCTTCTTTCTTTCTTTCGGCTTCTTGCCCTTCTCCCATCGGGTGTTCTTCCTTACTGTCCGGCGGGGTTTCTTCATCTCTATTGCTCTCTCGCTCTCGGAAGTGGAAGAAAGCTCCTGCCGCAAAGTTCGGCATGAATTTCTTCATGGTTTGAGGCAGGTACTTGGGCTGAAAGAATGCAGGCGGAATAAACTTAGCCAACAAGCAAGGAAAGGTCAAAGTTGATACACATTAGACACAAACACACAGGCACACACACATGGATCCAAACCCAACCACACGACAATAGCCACAGCAGATTTTTCCAGGTTCGCGCTTCTTGGCTTTCTTTTGGCTCCCACTGCTTCACCAGACGGATTCCGCTTTTGCTCTTCCATCCGTGATTTGCTCCCCTCCAGCTCGTTCTCCTCGCGAAACAGCCTCGTCAAAGCATAACTCAATATCGAATGGTGGCTTCACTCTAGTGCTGTACGTTTTCCCGGATCCAGCGGCGGACTCGTCCATTACATCTACTTCAGCCAATTCCGTCAGCTTGTTTCTGTCCAGACAAAACCCTTCCTTTTGGTCCCGGTCTTCGACGTTGGATCTGTTCCTCACCGACTCGGTCTACCGCTCATTTGATCGGATTCAACATCATAGCACAGCTCGCCGTCTTTTCACCTTTAGACGGCGCTTGTCGCTTTGCCACTCGTCACCTACATTGCTGAGGTTGGATCGCCTCGTAGTGGCGCTTGCCTCTGCATTCCCCATATCTGCCTCGGCGCCGCGCGCGGATTGTCGGACCTATTCCACCTCATCATCTCGACACCTTATTTACCGCCTCAGAGCCATATCATCATCTCAGTAAGCAGCAGGTAAGGTACATCCACGAACATCAGAGACCAAGCCAATTGTGGTTCGGCCTACAGCCCTCCCCGCTCCCTTGCCAGCCAGCCGCCCAAACCGTTATACTTCCAATAGATGCGGATCTACGTACTGTATCCCGTCCCTTCGTTTACCAAATCTCGTCTGGCGCATGGCGCCGCCTATTCCTTAGTGCCTTTCAGCTGCTTATACAGGCGCTTGTTCCTCATGTTTACCTTTAGGTGGCGTTCACCGGGTTCGCTCGCATTCCTCCCATGCGTCTCCACTCCTCCTCTCCCTGCCCGACCCTCTGGGATTTTGGTGGCTTCACTCGATGCGCCGTTTTGCTCACACCTCTTCCGTCACGCGGTTTCTGACACCAACCACCAGACACGCACCGTACCCAACCCAGAGAGACATAGGGCAGAAGGGCCTCCTCGAGGCTGCAGAGTGAGGCGTCAAGCCTGAACCCTCCACGGGGCCCCACGATGCTCCGTCGGCCAGTCACTCGGGCGCTTGCCTTGTCTCTCTTTGTTCTCGTACTGAACACGGGCTACGTGGCTTCACGTAATCTGATTCCAGCGGCGGCCTTGTCAGACTATGTCACCCGCCAGCAGGGAATGATTGCCGATACTCCGGCGCCAATGAGCACTTTGCTAGATGCAGAGGGCGGCCAACAGCAGAAGCCGCTCGACTGTTTTCAAGTCGCCCAGCCAGTGTTGGGTCCCAAAGGCCCCGTCTACCAGGCGTTGACGGGCAGCTTTGATGATGGCAAGGGTAAATCTCCGACGACGGACCCCAAAGACTGCAAGGTGCAGTTGATGGACCACTCTTTTGGTAACAGCTTCGACAAGCCCTTTGTCGGTAAGTGGCATGGAAATCTCATCACACCACCACCAACGCAAATCAAATGCGTGGTGGATAACCCGGAAATCGGCATCCTGACTTGGAGTTGATAGGCGACTACAAACCTCCTGGCTGCGACTTCAACCGCGTCATTGTAAACTTTACTGCTACCTCTGCAGGCCGCCAACTGGACCGGCTGGCTTTGTTGTATCTCGGCGACACGGAGGTATGGAGAACATCCACTGCGGAGCCCAGAGCGGCGCCCGGAATCATCTGGACCTATTGGAAAGACATGACCCCGTATCTTAGTCTCTGGAAGACTCCCCAGAAGATCATTTTCGACTTGCCCAACCTCATCGGTAAGTAAGCCCATGTCCCGTATCCCAGTTCCTCCTGGCTTCCAAACCAAGTGACCTGCCATCCCCGAATCCTTCCCTCGGAGACTTCGGAGTGGGGGCCAAAACGGCTAACGCGCCGCCAAGACGACAGGTTTACGGGGCCCTTCAACTGCACCCTGACCGCAACCTTTTTCAAAAGCGACGTCGAAACCGACAGTGCACCCCCGGCTGACCTCATCATCCCCATCTCATCACGGAACGCGTCCTCCAACACAGGCAGTGCCTGGCAAGTGCCTGAACGTGAAGCCGTGAGCACTGTCAAATTTCCGCGCAATGCCAATCGAGCAGTCTTCTCCGTCTCGGCCAATGGCCAAGGAAGCGAGGAATTCTGGTGGAGCAATGTCCTTCAGAGCGATGCTGCAGCTTTCAATGCCACCGTCGGTATGGCTCCGGATGGCAGCCCGTGGCGTGAGGTGCAAGTCATCATTGATGACCAGCTAGCCGGGGTCCAGTGGCCGTTCCCTGTAATTTTCACTGGAGGCGTGGTTCCCAGTTTCCATCGCCCTCTCGTAGGCCTTGATGCCTACGATTTACGGGAGCACGAGATCGACATCTCGCCATGGCTCCCGGTTCTGAGTGATGGCAAGGAGCACACGTTCAAGATCAAGGTCGCCGGCCTCGCAGATGACGGGCAGAAAACGATTGTGAATACGACGGTTGGCAACTTCTGGGTTGTGTCTGGCAAAGTTTTTCTATGGCTGGACGAAGAGGGCTCCATCACGACTGGGAAACCGCCCACCGTATCAATCTCCCAACCGGATATCAAAATCACTGGTCGGGCCCTAGGCAAGAACTCTACAGGCGCCAACGAAACTCTTGCATTCAATCTGGATGTGACGAGGATGATCTCTGTCAAAGGCGAAGTAGTCTCCAAGAAAGGGACGAAAAATCCTGAATGGACCCAAAAGTTATCGTACACCAACAATGCGACGCTAGGCCAATTTGGTCGCAATGGCTTCAATAACTTCATCATCACCGGGACAGACGAACTGACGGGGATGGGCACATACAAGTCAACATACTCGTACCCGCTGATCGTCAACCAAACTGCTAACATGTCAGCAAGTGGTGATCTGAGCCTGGACGCAACACTTTTTCAAGAACTGAGGTTGGAAGTCGAAGGTGTCAGTGTATACCCGACCGGGCTTGAGGCTTACAATAACCCAACCCGTAACAGGCAGGGACAAAGCAGCCAGTACAAGACTTCCAAACTCTCAACGTTCCGGAACGGTACGGCAGTCTTCAACATGCCGGCAGATATGAAGAGCAGCTCAGCATTTGGCACTACTCGGCAAGTGTTCCGGTTCAGCGGCGGCCGGGATGAGGCACGTGACGTGGAACTATACACAAGGAGAGTGAGAGCGAGCAACAACACTGTGCTCTCTGACGAAGAGAAGTCTGCCGATGGGCGTGAGAAGGTTTTGACCGTCTCAAACCCTTTGGGAGAAGCCAATTAAGATCAGCAAATGTGCACTAGTTACAGGTGAAGGCTCTCAAGTTTCAACTTCCAAGAGGCTAGTATAGGGCACTTGAGAACAGCCGTGAGCAGTTGCTAAGTAGACATGGACAAACATGGACAAACATGCCATGTCGGACTCCGGATTACACCGACCAGCTGGAATTTGGCACGGACGAAAAGACGGGAGGCTTCAGGCTACTCTAGCACTACTGAGCTGGGCCCAAGTGCACTGGCAGCTCTTCTAGCCGCTTGTGGCAGAGGTGAGAAATTGTCTCACCTTACACTGCCGTTGGCGAGTTGACAGGGTTGTCGATTCGGGATTTGCTTTTTAAACTTTCGGTGTTAGAAGCAAACGGCGAAATAGCCGTCATCTCCCCCCTCTTCTCACCCCAGTCTAGTGTAGTGTATTCGTACGCGGTCCACCTTACGAACCGATCAGCCATGTTTCGGTGCAGCCTGCTCGACCGGGGTACGGAGATGGAAAAGCAAGGGCCAGAGGCGAGCAGGTAGAAAGCCATAGGCTGCTTGGCTACCCATACCGAGTGCCTAGGCAGCCAGAGACCAGCCTGAACGACAAGAAGACAGCCTACTGCGAGGCGTGCAAGGCAGGGAGGAATAGAGTTAGCACAGCCTACAATTACATCCCTCGGGATAAGCTTTACGGCGCGCCTGCCAAATCTCGTTCCCCTTTCCCCGGCAGCGATCTACAGCGAATCTGGGTGGCAGGTTGAGTTACATCGCATCGCGCTCTGGCAGGACCAGGGAGTGCCAATACCAAGTAGTAAGGTACTGTATGATCTCGAGACAAGCAATGTTTCCATCGTCGTCGGCCATTCGTTGCGACCTTTCATGCTAATTCCACTTTCTGCTAGGGAAGCTTGTTGGAGGGTGACTGGCTGTTCATCTGCTGCTCATGGCACGACATTTCCTCTTTC